TGTACACACAGTGCCGGCATGGCCACGGTGGTGGAGATGGGCCTGAGGGCCCGTGGCTCCCACACGGAGCTGTGTGGCTCCCGAGCCAGTGGGCCTCGCTCCACAGAGCGTGGCACGATGGAGGGGAAGAGCAGGTGATCCTCCAGTTGCGAGTCCTCCCCTCCCCACGAGATCAAGGAGTCTGAATGTGTGGAGCCTCTGATGGGGACCCTGCTCCGCCAGCAACGGCCTCACATCAGGCCTGTATCAGCACTGCTTCACAGCACACTCTCCCGCTAACATCTGTCTTGCCTTCACCTCTCAGGGCAATTACTGCTCTGGTACAGAAATAAACATATTTAGAGTTTTACACCATTCAGTCATCAATTCCACCTGTTTGCTTGGAAAATAGTGTGGAGTCCTGTAACTCAGCGTTTAGAGCCCTTGCCTCACAAGTGAGAAGATATAGGTTTGATTCCCAGAAAGAGCCACAACTTTGGCAAGTTTCCTTGCCCCACATGCCTCTGTTTCTCTAGCAGTAAGTAGGAACCCAGTTGTTAGTCGATTGGCGGATCACTTTCCTGAGGTAATAATCCCTATAAAATGTTCAGGAGGAGACACCAGTTCTTTGTACATAGATATTTATAGATCATAAACTAGGTCAAACATTTACAAAGATTTCAGCGAATAGTAACAGAGAAAATATGCGGTATTACCTGATCTCTGGGTAGAGTTGTAATCTTCCTGCTTTTGTTTTTACTCTTACTTTTCTTACTCTAGAGTACTCTTATTCTACACTTAAGTTGTGTTTCAACCCAAACTCTTATACTGATCTGACATGGACACAGTTTCAAGGATGGAGTTGTTTTTTTCACTCTTTCCTTGATCTTGGCACACCCACCCGTATTCTTATCGAATAAATGTCTGCTCAGTGAGTTATTTTTATTTAACCTAGTTTTAATGAATGTCAGTTACATAGACTTTATTTTATGCATGTACAAGTGTAAGACTTGATTTTGAGCTATTGTTAAGCATTTGCATTTATATTAACTTTGTAGCCCGCGAAGCTTACCAAAACTTGTGAAGTGGCCCGCCAGCCTAAATAATTGCCCACTCCTGGTCTAAGCACATCCGCCATTGTAAACAATGTTAGATTTTGCTGATCATGCTTTACTAACTTGTTAACCCCAATTAATTTCCCAATGCCTATATCTTATTAAAAACCTCGTAATTAAGTAAAATAGCTGTTTGCAATGACCCCACTACAACTTACAACTCTGAGTTGAAAGTCCTGAAGTTGGGCTTGAACACAAAACCTGGCACCTTAAGCGGAAATGGCTGTGACAACAAGAACAAAATTACATTTGTATACACAGAGCACAACAGTAAAGCAATAATGCTGACATCATACACATCATTGGTGAGGCCACAGCTGGAGATTGTTCTGTTTGGGGCCCCTCAGGTCAGCAAGGTTGTTAATAATAATTCCTGCATTTGATATAGTGCCTTATCACATCTTCTAGATGTCTCAAAGAGCTTCACAGAATATACTGTAAAGGGAATTTTGTGGGCAAAACGCAGCAGCCAATTGCACACAGCAGTGTCCCACAAACAGTCAGATTGAAGTGACCGATGTAATTTTTTTTGATGGAATTATTATTCTCGGAAAAGTAATCCGCCAATTGACTGACAACCGTGTTCCTACTTACAGCTAAGTAAACAGAGGCGTGTGGAGTAAGGAAACTTGCACAACATTTTGCCCTACCGGGAATCGTGTCCAGGCCTCTCAATTGCAAGGCGAGTGCTCTAACCACTCTAACTACAGGGTTCCAAAGTTAATGTCTTGGAGGGGGTTTGTATCAGGTTCACGAGAATAATCACAGAGATGAGAGGTTTTAGTTATGAAGAGAGATTGGAGAATTTAGTGCTGAGAAGGTTGAGAGGGGACCTAGAACTTTATAGATATTTACAGCACAGACGAAGGCCATTTGGCTCAACATGTCTGTACTGTTCTGTTAAGAGCAATTCTTTCATTCTCATTGACCTGCCCTTTACCCATATGCTGTAACTGATTTATTTTTAGATATTGATCTAGTTCGCATTTGAAAACTATTATGGATTCTGACCTGAACATTGCTCCTGACAAGACATTCCAAATCCTATGGAAGGAAAAAGAGAAAGAATATTTCTTCTCCCTCTGCGTGAAAAAAATTCTCCTAACCTCCCCATTCACTTATTTATTAAATATCTTAAATGAATGCCCCCCAGTCACTGACTCGCCAACCAACATTTATTCAAGTGGAAAAATGTCCCTAGTTCCTCCAGCCTCCACTCAGAGGCCAAACCACTCATCCCCGGTATCATCTTAGTAACAATAACAACTTGTATTTATATAGCGAAAGGTAGCGTACCACAGCGCTTGACTGGCGGAGCACGACGCCGAGCCAAGAGGGAAGGGGGAGGTTACCATAGGCACGATCGAAGAGGAAGGTTTTCCAGCGCAATCTGAAGATGGGGAAAGGAGGGGGCAAAGCAGAGTGTTCCAGAATTACGAGGTGCAGTGGCTAGAACTGGTGTGATGGGGGTACGGAGTTTACTATGGAAAATTATTTGGGGGCATGGAATAGATATGGCTTAAATGACAACTGCGTATACTGTTTGAACAACTATAAATTGTTGATTTCCAGGGTAATGCACCGTGTCCCAGGATATTTGGATGAACTGAAATCTAAACATTGAGCTTGCACACATTGTTATATTAATTATTAACCTGCACTGAAGTAAAGTCTTCAGAGAAACTGTATTGCAACCGGCATTTGAAAGGACGACATTATGGAGTGGATTTCTCTCATCTGTCACCCACTTTGGTTTCTTGTTTCGGTTATTTTGATTATTGTTGTCAAGTGGCAGAGAAAAGGCTATTGGAAACCCCAAGACTGTCCAGTGAGACTCACTGGGAAAACTGTGATTGTTACTGGAGCAAACACAGGTAGGATCCAACAGTCACACACTGTCCTCACAGCATTCATCTTTGTCCATGTGACACTCACCACATATGTTCACTGATTGTGTGTGTTATACTGACTGTATGTGTATTACACTGTGTGTGTCACACTGACTACGTGAATTACACTGTGTGCTACATTGTGTGTGTGACATTGACTATGTGTTACAGTTTGTGTGTTATACTGGCGGAGTACTGCGCCAAGCCAGTGGGGGAAAGGGGGATGTTACAATAGGTCGAAGAGGAAGGTTTTCCAGAGCAATCTGAAGATGAGGAAGGAGGGGGCAAGGCGGAATGTTCCAGCCTTTCAGGGGAGAGTGGCTAGAACTGGTGTGATGGGGGTACAGAGTTTACTATGGATGAGCATGCAGGCAGCAGTGGAGCTGGGGAGACCAGTGAGGAAAAATTGTCAAGGCGGGAGGTGAGGAACGCATGGATGAGTGTTTCGGCTGCACTTAGGGTAAGGTACGGTCGGAGGGGGGCAATGTGACACAGGTGAAGGAAGGTGCTCCTGGTCAGGGACCAGATGTGGGGAAGGAAGATAGCTGTACATTGAACTTAATGCCAAGATTGTGCACTGGTTCAGTGAATCTGGACAATAGGCCGGGGAGGTTTACGAGGTCAGATCCACAGGATAGAAGATGTTGATGGGAGGCAAGGAGTATGGTTTCTGTCTTGCCAATATTAGCTATAAGAAGTTTTCGCTTATCCAGGCCCTAATGTCTGCCAGACAAGCCGACAAAACATCGTCGGACCTGGAGCCGCAGCTGGAGGAAAAGTAGATTTGTGTGTCATCAGTAAATCTCCTCTGCACCCCTCTATTGCCTTGATGTCTTTCCTAAAGTGGGATGACCAATACTGGATTCAATATTCTATCTGATAAGCTGAGTAGAGATGGATCAAATGATGAGGAGTTTTGACAAAGTGAGTAGGAAGAAGCTGTTCTCACTGGTAGAGGAATCAGTGAGTAGAGGCCACAGATATGATACAAGAAGGAAAGCTCAGGAGAATTGTTTGAACATGGGAAGATGTGTTTTCACACAGCAAGGTCAGACCCAATAGCCAAGTGGCCTCTTTCTGTGCTGTACATTTCTATGATTGTATAATATTATAATCAGCCTCTTTCATGAGCGCCAACATGTTAACAGCTGTCATTGTGTGTCAGTGGTAGTGCTCTCACCTCTGAGTCAGAAGGTTGTGGGTTCAAGCCCCAAGGTGCGATTTGGAATCACACTGTCTAAGAAGACACTGCAGCGCAGTGCTGGGGTGGGTCGCAGTGTTGAAGTTGCTGTCCTTCGCATGAGATGTTAAACCAAGGTTCTGACTGCCTGTTCAGATGGATGTTAAAAGATCCCACAGCACTATTCGAACAGAAAAGGGAGTTTTTCTCTCCCGATGCCCTGGCTGACAATCCCCCAAAATAAAATTGGTCACTGATTCTGCTGCCACGTTTCATCCACAGGCAAATCACTTTACAGTATATTGTGTGAAGCGCTTTGAGACGTCTTAAAGACCTAATGAGGCACTACATCAGATGGAAAGATTATTGTTATTATATAACAATAGGGCATAACAGCACAATGTCGTCTATAAGAATAAGAAGAATCCTTGCATTTGATATAGCACTTTTCACGTCTTTTCGACGTCTCAAAGCGCTTCACAGAATAGACTGAAAAGACCGTATATTTGTGGGCAAAACGCAGCAGCCAATTGCGCACAGCAGTGTCCCACAAACAGTCATGGATTGAAAATGACCAATTTATTATTGTTTTGTTATGTTATCAAGCACTCCTCCAAGACTGCCGTGCGTGTTTAACGTTTAGTTAGTTGCAAGACAAAATTTCTACTAGAGCGATTTACATTCCACACATAGTTTACATGTATGAAAATGATACCCTGCCTGCAGTAACCTGCTTATTGAATCAATGTTAAGTGAGATGACTTCCTGGCTTAGAAAGTAAATGAATTGTTGAACATAAGGTTTGGTTCCTCTCCTCACAGATTCCGATTTTGACATTTCTAAACAGAATAAGATGGTCTTTTCTGGACAAACCTTCTGTCTCAGCCTTCAACAGAGTGATTAGCTCCACTGCTGTTCACACCTTCAAACCCAACACAATTGCATCCCTATCCAAACCGCCACCTTTCCCCCATCCCATGAGTCCTGAATGTCAACCACAGTCTCCCATGTGGCACCTTATCAAACACCTACAAATCCATATAAACATTCACAGCTTTGCCCTTTGGTTGCTTTGTTGAGTTCGTAGCCATAGTCCCTGATGAACTCATTCCCATCGCTACCCATCCCTCATAATTGCTCCAAAAGTTTAGCTGACTTTGGTTTATAAAGAATATTAATCTTAAAAAGCTTCATTCTGTCTAATGGTACCAGTGATGAGAGACTTTAGTTATGCGGACAGACTAGAGAAGCTGGGATTATTCTAAGAGTTAAGGTTAAGGGGAGATTTAATAGAGATGTTTAAAATTATGAGGGGTTTTGATAGAGTAGATAGGGAGAAATCATTTCCACTGGCAGGTGGGTTGGTAACCAGGGGACATAGATGATATAATAATCCTTGCATTTGATTTAGCGTCTTAACACATCTTTGAGATTTCTTAAAGTGCTTCACAGGGTATACTGCAAAGTAAATTGACTGTTTATTTTGTGGGCGAAACTCGGCAGCCAATTGCACACAGTAGTGCCCCACACAGTTGTGGATTGAGTGATCAAATTATTATTTTTATTTTATTTTTGGAATAGTTATGATCCACTAATGGACTAACAACCGGGTTCCTATTTACTGCTAGGTAAAGGTGTGGCATAAGGAATCTTGCCCAACATTGTGGGTAACTACCCGAAATATCCCACTCTCCAACTCATGGTCAGTCAATACACACTGGACAGAGAGTGAGCGCCTTACTCTGCCTTCGCGGAGATGAGATGTTGTTAGATCCGCGAATTATGTGTCTGTATTTGGAGAGAAAAAATCTGATCCAAGTAAACTTAAGAAACAAAGAATGGGTTTTTATTTCTACTTGTACACAGGAGCACACAATTGTTCCCGTATACAAATAGGATCTAATGACTCCCTGTCAGACAAAAGATCCTCTTCGTCGGTACAATTAAGTTTTATACAGGCGTACACAAAAATACACAGAAGGGGTGTTTTTCCTTACAGACCAATCATGTTTGCTGCACGTTTACCCACATTTCTTGCTTCAGTTAGTTTCAACTGCACTAATCTTACGGTTTTGCTTGAAGGCCATTTCTATGTTATCACCCGCCATTCCTTAGACTGTGGCCTTCAGATAACCGAATTCTACAATAACAAGTCTAACCTACTTACTTATATCTGCTTAAAAGCAGATAGGCCAGGGCACAAGCTACGATATAGTTTTTTAAACATACCATAACATCTTTTTCCTCTATCAATGTCAATGTCACACAAACCTTCAGGCGCATTTAAATCCAGTCGAGGTGCTGCCCCAGAATTCATTACTTACAACGCCTCCCCACCATCACCACCACTGCAGAAACCAACATCAAAAATCCCAGCTGCATGTTGAAAGCAGGAATGATTTGAAAGGCAGGGAACTTCATTTACGTGTATCCTGAAGTATGAATACAATGAAGTAGATTCAAAATAATTCCACTGGCGAGTGGGGCAGTAACCCGAGGACATCGACTTAAAATATTTGTTAAACGAAGTAAGGAAAAAATTTTACCCAGCGAGTTGTTCGCATCTCGCCGAAAAGAGTTGGGGAAACTGATTCGATAACAATTTTCAAGAGAGAAGCTGATAATTATTTGCGGAGGACAAGTTTGCAGGGCTATGGGATAAGGAGCGGGGGTGGGATTGAATTGGTTAGCTCTTTTCAAAGAGCCAGCACAGACACGATGGACAAAATGGCCTCATTCTGTGCTGTATAATTCAATGATTCTATGATTCTGTTGGGACATTGAAGTCCTGGTAACTACACAGGAATAGTCAGCCAAGCACCATGCTGTCCTAGGCCCAGACACAATAAAAAATAGTGAACGCCACACACAGTTAGTGATTACTGTCTGCCCTACAAGCTTTTTAATATGTTCCTTTTATGAATGTAAACACAAATGTCTTTTTCTTACACTGTCTATTTGTTACAATGTGTGTGTGTTACACTGACACTGTGTGTGTTGCACTGTGTGTTATACTGTGTGTTACACTGACTGTTACACTGTGTGTTACATTGTCTGTGTGTTACACTGCATATGTGTTACACTGTATCTGTGTGTTACACTGTTTGTTATACTGACTGTGAGTTTCACTGTGTGTGTTACACTGAATGTTTGTTACACTGTGTGTGTGTTACATATTCAAGGCTGAGATAGATATATTTCTTATTGCAAATGTGATTAGGGATATGGGATAAGGCGGGGTCAGGTTATTAGCTGGAGTTAGATTAGAAGATCCGCCATGATTGAATGGCGGGGGAGGCTCAAAGGGCTGAATAGCCTACTCCTGCTCCTACATGTTATGCTATGTTATGTTACACTCTGTGTGTGTTACACCATGCGTGTGTTACACCTACTTTATCTGGAATGTTGTTATGACGAAATTTCTAATCTGCTTTGTGTTTGGGCATGGAATAGATATGGCTTAAATAACAACTGCGTGTACTGTTTGAACAACTATAAATTGTTGATTTCCAGGGTAATGCACCGTGCGTGTCCCAGGATATTTGGATGAACTGAAATCTAAACATTGAGCTTGCACACATTGTTATATTAATTATTAACCTGCACTGAAGTAAAGTCTTCAGAGAAACTGTATTGCAACCGGCATTTGAAAGGACGACATTATGGAGTGGATTTCTCTCATCTGTCACCCACTTTGGTTTCTTGTTTCGGTTATTTTGATTATTGTTGTCAAGTGGCAGAGAAAAGGCTATTGGAAACCCCAAGACTGTCCAGTGAGACTCACTGGGAAAACTGTGATTGTTACTGGAGCAAACACAGGTAGGATCCAACAGTCACACACTGTCCTCACAGCATTCATCTTTGTCCATGTGACACTCACCACATATGTTCACTGATTGTGTGTGTTATAATAATAATAATAATCCTTGCATTTGATATAGCGCTTTTCACGTTGGGAGGACATCCCAAAGCGCTTCACAGAACACACTGTAAAGTGAATTGACTGTATATTTGTGGGTGAACGCGGCAGCCAATTGTGCACAGCAATGTCCCACAAACAGTTGTAGATTGAAAATGACCAATTTATTATTGTTTTTGGTTTTTGGAGGGATTATTATTAGGCTCTGTGTGGAGTAAGGAAACTTGCCCAAGGCTTCGCCCTCTGCCTGGAATTGAACTCAGGTCTCTCACTTGCAAAGCGAGTGCTCTAATCACTGAGCTACAGGACTCTACTGTATGTGTATTACACTGTGTGTGTTATACTGTGTGTGTCACACTGAGGGGTGAGGCGGTGGCGGAGTCTGGCAATGTTACGGAGGTGCTGGCAGGCGGTGCCAGTCATGGCGCGGATGTAAAAGAGAAAGGATAGTTCAGGGTCAAACAAGCCACCCAGGTTCCTGACTGGCTTAGTGAGGTTGAGTGTGCAGCCACGGATGCCAATCAAGAGGGCCTCGGTCTGGCTGACGATGAGTTGGAGAAACTTGTCCCTCATCCAGGACTTGATGTCGGACAGGTAGTCGGTCAGGATGCCAGTAGTTCTGGAATTGAGGGTGAAAGCAGAAAGATAGAGTTGGGTGACATGTGGAAATTTACCCCATGTCTGCGGATGATGTCACCAAGGGAGATCATGTAGAGGGTGAAGAGCAGGGGTCAAGGACAGAGCCCTGAGGGACACTGCATGACATTGCGGGGGCTGTAGGAGAAGCCGTTTGCTGCGATGAAGTGGAGGCAGTGTGAAAGGTAGGACCTGAATCAGTCAAGGACAGAACATTGAAGGTAGAGATGGGAGGAGAGGCGGTGGAGGAGGGTTGAATGGTCCACAGTGTCAAAAGCAACAAAGAGGTCGAGGAGGACGAGGAGACAGAGGGAGCCCTGGTCACACATGGTCAGGATGTCATTTTGACCTTGACCAGAGCAAGGACCTTGGATAGAAAGGGGAGATTTGAGATGGGTCAGTAGCTGGTTAGTTGTGATGGATCAAGGGAAGGTTTCTTCAAGGTGGGGGTGATAGTGGCTGTTTTGAGGGAGGAAGGAACAGTGCCAGATGACAGGGAGAAGTTGATGATGCCGGCAAGTAGTGGGGCAAGGAGGTGGAGCTGGGATTTAAGGATGAGGTGGGGATGGGGTCTGTGGAAAGTGTGGCAATGTAACATCTTTGGGCAATCGCAAAAGTTACAGAATAAGCAAAGGCAATGAGACAAAACATGTTTTCGTATTTGGTGTAAGCTCAGCTTTGTTTTGGTTTCGCAACTATCAATGTATATGTTATTGTGCTAAGGAACCCGGGACCCATATCTCTTTTTGTGAAAGAAACAGACATCCAATTATGGGAAAATGGAACATGTATAAAGGTCAGATGTTGTTTTTCTCTGGTGTGCAGTGTGGGGAGCAGTACCTTGGGAGAGTTGTTGCTACCGCTCTGCACCTCATACATATATGAAATAAAGCTTTTTGAATGTATACCGCACTGATTCCGTGTTGAGTTTTCAGGTCTTTAAGAGCAATCGCACATCGCAATCTGGGTTTAACAGGATCCAGTGAGCAGGTGGTGGATTTCATGGAGGATTTGATTGTGAAGACAGAGGAGGGGTTGACAGGTTCAAAGGTGTGGAAGGAGCAATGGCTAATTGTCGATGTGTAGGCGGGGGTTAGGGAGGGGATGGAAATTGGGAAGGCAGTGGCAGCTGAGTGGATTCCCTCGATTTTGGATTCGAGGAAATCCAGCAATTCTCGCAGTGGTGGTCAGAGGAAAGAATCTGCAAGGCATGGTGGAGAGGGCGGAGGAGCCGGTTAGTGGTGGAGAACAGGAGCCTGGGGTTGCCCTTTGTCTTAAGGATTAACCTGGAATAGAAGGACAATTTGGCCAAGGTGAGAGTTGAGAGGTAGGTTTTGATGAGGTCCAGCCAGATGTGGCGGTGGACCATTAGGCCAGATTTGAGCCAGGTGCATTCGGCAGCCCACACCTGGCCCTTAGGCGAACGGAGATGGCTAGTGAACCATGATGAGGAATGAGGATCAGGATATAAGAGGCAGTTCGGGAGATGAGGGGGGCAAGGGCATCAATTTTGGTCAGAGATGGCCTTGTCAGTGATGGTGATGTGATGAACCCGGCAGAGGATTCCCAGGCTGGAGCAGAGGGAAGCAATGGGGGGGTTAAGCAGAGATAGGAGGCGGGGAGGGCGAAGAGAGAGCAGGACAGAGCGGGAGAGTTGCAGGGAAGGGGGAATTTTGAGGGGTTTGTCAGATCAGGTCAGGGGCAGCATCCAAAATGTGCACGCTGGAATGAGAGGTGGTGGGTTAATGGGACATTGCCAGCCTGCAGGGCTGGGAGGGCGCTCATTGTGGTTAGTTTATGGTCTTTTGGGGGGACGTAACGATGATGTCATTAGTGATTTTTCTACAGATGCCGCGGCGGGGGCTGCTGACCCTGGCAAGGCCTCATCTCCACCCCGCGCTGACCCCACTCCGCCCTCCGAATACACTGTGTGTGTTTCACTGACTGTTTCTTATACTGTGTGTGTTACACTGTGTGTGTGTTACATTGACTGTTTGTTACATTGTGTTTTACACTATGTGTTCACTGTGGTTAATTGATTGTGAATTACACTGTGTGTTACACTGTGTGTGTGTTTCACTGACCATTTGTTAAACTGTGTGTTACACTGGCTCTGTGTGTTACACTGTGTGTTACACTGTGTGTGTGTTACACTCACTGTGTGTTACACTCACTGTGTGTTACACTGGCTCTGTGTGTTACACTGTGTGTGTGTTACACTCACTGTGTGTTACACTCACTGTGTGTTACACTGACGGTGTGTTATACTGTGTGTGTGTTACACTGTGTGTGTTACACTGACTGTTACACTGTGTGTGATACGCTGACTATATCATTATCTGTTTGTTACACTGTATGTGTGTTATACTGACACTGTGTGTTACACTGTGTGTGTTACACTGTCTGTTTGTTACACTGTGTGTGTGTTACACTGACTCTGTGGTTCACTACATTTGTAATACTGACTGAGTTGCACTGTGTGTGCTACACTGAATGTTTGTTACACTGTGTGTGTGTTTCACTGCCTTTGCATATAATACTGTGTGTGTGTTACACTGTATGTGTTACCCTGACCTTGCATGTTACACTGTGTGTTGCACTGACTGTTATACTCTGTGTTACATTTTATGTATGTTTGTTAAACTGTGTGTTACACTGTGTGTGTGTGTCACACTGTGTGCGATACACTGACTGTGTGTGTTACACTCTGTGTGTTCTGTGTATGTATTATACTGGCTTTCTTACACTGTGTGTGTTACACTGTGTGTGATACACTGACTGTACACTGTCTGTTTGTTACACTGTGTGTGTGTTACACTGTGTGTGCGTTACACTGTTTGTGTTACACTGACTGCGTGTTTCACTGTCTGTGTGTTACACTGCGTGTGTGTTACACTGACGCTATGTGTTACACTGTTTGTTATACTGACTGTGAATTACACTGTGTGTATTACACTGAATGTTTGTTACAATGTGTGTGTGTTACACTGCCTTTGCATGTTACACTGTGTGTGTGTGTGTTACACTGTATGTGTTACCCTCACTGAGCATGTTAACACTGTGTGTTGCACTGACTGTTAAACTCTGTGTGTTACATTATATGTGTGTTTGTTAGACTGTGTGTGTCACACTGACTGTTACACTGTGTGTGTGTTACACTGTGTGTGTTAATCTGTGTGTATGTTAATCTATGTGTTACACTGTTTGTTACACTGACTTATACTGTGTGTGTTACACTATGTGTGATACACTGACTGTGTGTGTTACATCTGTGTGTGTTACACTGACCGTTATATTGTGCGTGTGTCACACTGTGTGCGATACACTGACTGTGTGTGTTACACCTGTGTGTGTTACACTGTGTGTGTTCTACTGTGTATGTATTACACTGACTGTTTGTTACACTGTGCGTGTTACACTGTGTTACACTGACTGTGAGGTATACTGTGTGTTACACTGACTGTTACACTGTGTGTGATACACTGACTGTCTGTTACACTGTGTGTTACCCTGTGCGTGTTACACCATGCGTGTACACTGTGTGTAACACATGGTTGCACACTATAACTCACCAAACCAGTCAGGAACCTCGGTGTCTTGCTTGACCCTCAACTGTCTTCTTCTCCACCTCCAAGCCATGACCCGCTCTGCCTTCCCTCACCTCCGTAACATCGCCCGACTCCGCCACTACCTCACCCTTCAGGCCACTGAAACTCTTGTTCATACCTTCCTCACCTCCAGGCTCGACTATGCAAACGCCCCACTTGTCGGCCTTCCCAACTCCTCCCTCCACAGACTGCAGATCATCCTGAACTCTGCAGCCCATGTCCTCTCCCGCACCAAACTCCGTGACCGCATCTCCCCCATTCTCGCCCGACTCCTCTGGCTCCCTATCCTTCAGAGGATCCAGTTCAAGATCCTGGTCCTCACCTACAGTGTGTGTGTTACATTTTGTGTGTTACACTAACTGTGTTACACTGACTGTGTTACACTGATTGTATTATGCTCTGTGTGTGTTACACTGCATGTGTTACATTGTGTGTGTTTCACTGACTGTGTGTTACACTATTACATTGACTGTGTGTTACACTCTGTGTACCTTACACTGTGTGCGATACACTGACTGTGTGTGTTATACTGTGTGATACACTAACTGTGTGTTACACTGTGTGTGTTACACTGTGTGTGTGTTACACTGTGTGTGTGTTACACTGTGTGTGTGTTACACTGAGTGTGTGTTACACTGAGTGTGTGTCACACTGAGTGTGTGTTACACTGTGTGTGTGTTACACAGATAGTGTGTGTTATACTGTGTGTAGTACACTGAATGTGTGTGTGTTTCCATTTGTGTGTGTTACACTGACTGTGTGTTGCACTGTGTGTGTTGCACTAACTGTGTGTGTTATACTCTGTTTGTTGTACTCTGTGTGTGTTACTGTGTGTGTAACACTGACTGTGTATTACACTCTGTGTGTTACACTGTGTGATACACTGGCTGTGTGTGTTACACTGTGTGTTTCACTGTGTGTGTTACACTGACTGTGTGTTACACTGACTGTCTTTTAGACTCTGTATGATACACCGACTGTGTGTGATATTCTGATTGTGTGTGTTTCACTCTGTGTATGTTACTGACTGTGTGTTACACTCTGTGTGTGTTATACTGTGTTGTTACACTGTGTATGTGTTACACTGATTCTGTGTATTACACTGTGTTTGTTACACTGTGTGTTACACTGACTCTGTGTGTTTCACTGTGTGTGTGTTACACTACTGTGTTACACTGTATTAGTTACACTGACTGTTTGTTACACTGTTTGTTGCACTGACTGTGTTTTTCAGACTGTGTGTGATACTCTGACTTTGTGTGTTACACTGTTGTTACACTGTGTGTGTGTTACACTGACTGTGTGTTACACTGTTTGTGTTGCACTGACTGTTACACCCTGTGAGTTACATTGTGTGTGTGTTTGTTTTAATGTGTATGTTACTCTGACTCTGTGTGTTTCACTGTGTGTGTATGTTGCACTGTGTGTTACACTGACTGTGTGTTACACTGACTGTGTGTTACACTGACTGTGTGTTACACTGATTGTTTTGTTACACTTTGTGTTACACTGACTGTTACACTGTGTGTGTTCACTGACTGTTTTTCAGACTCTGTGTGTGATACTCTGATTCTGTGTGTTTCACTGTGTGTGTGTATGTGTTTCACTGACTGTTTGTTACACTGTGTGTTACACTGACCGTGTGTTACACTGGTTATGACACACTGACTGTGTTACACTGTGTGTGTTACACTGACTATTATACTGACTGCTTGTTACACTGTGTGTGCTACACTGACTGTGTTACAATCTGTGTGTGTTATACCGTGTGTGTGTGTTAATCTCTGTGTGTTACACTGTGTGTGTATGTTACACTGACTGTTACACTATGTATGATACATTGACTGTCTGTTACACTGTGTGTGTTTCACTGACTGTATTTTACGTTGACTGTTTTTTAGACTCTGTGTGTTACACTCTCTGTGTGTTACACTGACTATTATACTGACTACTTGTTACACTGTGTGTGCTACAGTGTGTGTTACACTGACTGTGTATCACAATCTATGTGTGTTATGCTGTGTGTGATACACTGACTGTGTGTTACATTGTGCGCCTTTCACTTCGGGAGGAAGTCCCAAGGCTCTGGACAGACAGAGTTACGGACCCGAGCTGGGGATTGGGATGGGCTGGAGGGCAGGGGTGAAGCAGGGAGATTGAAAGCAAGGTCGAAGAGGAGACAGGGGGAATGGGAGATAGACTTCCAGAGATTGGGTGCAGAGTGGGGGAAGGCCCGCCCGCCCTCGCCAATAGTGGGGCAAGTGAGACAGGGGACGTGAAGCACACCGGAGCCCGCTGAGCGGAGGGAGCAAGCAGGATGGTAGGGGATTAGCGGTCGGAGAGGTAGGAGGGAGCAAGATCATGGAGGGCTTTGAAGGTGAGGACCAGGATCTTGAACTGTATCCTCTGTGTGATGGAAAGCCGGTGGAGTTGGGCGAGGATGAGGTGACAGGGTCACGGAGCCTGGTTGTTGGGAAAAAAATGAATCCTGAATTCGATCAAAAGACTCGACAAATAGCAAATATGGCGTGACACACCTTTGAATGCTTTATTTCGATGCCCAACAGTAATATCAGTCATACCATACAAAGAAAAGTAAATGATCCAATAAGCAATACTGGAATCCAATGATTATATCAAAGTTTAACGATTATATTTGACTATTATACTAAAAACATATTGGTTACATGCAGTTAAGAAATACTCATAATGCCAGTTTAAAGGAGTCAGGAACAGCAGTTCTTTGTCTTCCCTCTCTTGAGCCCGAGCAGCTCAGTGATATACTCACAAACTTATGGTATCCCTCTGATCTCTGCTCCCAGACTGACTATCTCCCTCTCTTGAGTCGTCTTGATCTTCCATCTGTTCTCCCTAGACCTGGGGTAGTTATACCCTTTTCCAAGTGTCCTTTTCTTAGGGCCCCTCTACCCACTTCTGATACAGTCACGTACTCAGGTTAATCAATCATGTGGTTTGGTGGCAGCCTGACTGAGTCTCCACAAGGTCTTCCCTTTATCCTGTCTAAGATGATCGATCGGTTTAGGGCTGTATCTGGTGCTCATTATTTTGTTATGTGGGATCATTAGTACATTTCTTTTAAGTGAATGGTCATCACTTGTCAGTATCCTGGGATGGTACCAAAGTCCTCCAGTTTAAACAACTTGCTCATTAGTTCCTATTCTTGAGGGTTGCCTTCTGTTGCTTGGCAGTCCCTGTCAGAATCTGGAGACTTATTGCTAAACTGAGATTTTGTGTTGACCGGTATCTTGGTCCGTTACCTCTGTGGGCTTGTTGTTAAGAGGTGACCTCCTGCCCTTTTCCAAGGCTGTCTTGTTATTCCTTCAGAAACAGAAAACCAGATGTGTCCTATCCCATGACCGTCAACATTTAACATAAAATTATACATATTCACATAACATAATCCTGAATAATATTCCATTATAAATTCCTGATATTGTTATATTCCAACATAGTGCGGGAGAGGACACGAGCTGCAGAGTTCTGGATGATCTGCATCCTGTGGAGGGAGGAGTTGGGGAGGCCGACAAGCAGGGAGTTTGCATAGTCAAGCCTCAAAATAATGAAGGCGTTTATGAGGGTTTCGGGAGGCCAGCAGTGACATTGTAATACGCAGAATCCTCAACCCTGTGTCCTCACTCACACCAATTTCCATGAACCCAGATCCACAAGAAGCTTCATGCATGGTTTGGGGGCCCCTCTGTTTTCGCCAGGCAAGGGTTGGGATGTTGGGTGTGTGCTGGACAGGATTAACACAAGGGCTTTAGGGGCTCTAGCCCAGGGTCAGAGACGTGAAGCCGACCCTGTCAGAACATTGACACTTCTCTTCTGCCTGTCTCTGACCGCGTGTGTAGGGATCGGGAAACAAATCGCCATGGATCTGGCCCGGAGAAATGCTCGTGTGATTCTTGCCTGTCGCAATCTGCATAGAGGGCGGAACACAGAGCAGGAGATACGTCACAAGACAGGCAATCACAACGTTCATCTGCGTATCCTGGACACCAGCTCCCTGCAGTCTGTCCGCAGGTTCTCAGAGCAGATCAACAAGGAGGAGAAACAACTGGATATTCTCATAAATAACGCAGGAGCATCAGGTATCTCTTGTGTGCCGCGCGTCTCTGTGTGCCGCGCGTCTCTGTGTGCCGCGCGTCTCTGTGTGCCGCGCGTCTCTGTGTGCCGCGTGTCTCTGTGTGCCGCGCGTCTCTGTGTGCCGCGCGTCTCTGTGTGCCGCGTGTCTCTGTGTGCCGCGCGTCTCTGTGTTTACAGGTGGCTAAACAACTGTTTGCTTCTCACTCTCAGGGCTGAAGCGAGAAATAACCTCAGATGGTTTAGAACTCACTTTTGCCACCAACTGCCTGGGTCCGTTTCTCCTCACAAACCTGTTGCTGGGTAAGCACTGCCACCCTCTTCTGCATTGCACAGGTTCCCTGACACAGCCCAGCTCAGGCTGTTTGTGTGGGGGGAGGGGAAAACTTCTGGAGGGTTAGACTGGACTGGGGGAATGGCTGGGGCAGGCGTGAGGCTGAGGGCTGTGGTGGGCTGTGCTGGGTGCTAGGGTCTGGGTTAGAGATTGGGCTGGGGCTGGGTACTAGGCTGGGTTGGGGGCTGTGCAGGTTGCTGGGCTGGGGTTTGGGGGTTGGATTGTTGGGCTGGGGATTGGGCTGTGCTGGAGGCTGTGAGCTGTGCTGTGGGCTGTGCTGTGGGCTGTGTTGGGTGCTGGGGTCTGGGTTAGAGGTTGGCCTGGGGCTGGGTACTAGGGACTGGGCTGGTCTTGGGGCTGCACTGGGGATTGAGCTGGGCTGGAGACTGTGCTGTGTACTAGGGGCTGGACTGGGGCTTGGGGTTATGCTGGGGTTTGGGCTAGGCCAGGCTGGGCTGGTGGGCCTAGGGGCTTGGGCTGGGGCTGTGATAGGCTGGGCTGTGCTAGGCTGAGCTGTGCTGGGCTCTCACACCCTCTCATGCTGTGTTATAGAGAAGCTGAAGCTATCGACTTTGGCTCGCATTGTGAATGTTTCCTCCCTGAATCATGCTCGAGGGAAGATTGACTTCACACAGATGACAGGAGAGAACTTCCCCCCTTTTGACTCTGCCTACAACAACACCAAGCTCATGAACATTCTCCACACAATGGAGTTGTCCAACCACCTGCAGCACTCAGGTCAGGACCACCTACACACCTGTCCAACTAAACACCTGTCCACTTACACACCTGTCCACCTACCTGTGCTTTGTAGAATCCAGGGAGCATTTGTGGCTGCCCAGCACTTCAGTTCACTGCTGTATTTGGAGCCTGTATTTCTTTTAACAGTTCTCATATGTGTGCCCGTCATGACGCCCTTACCAATTACTGTGAGCACCTCTACACTATCCTTGATTTGGATAATCCTGATAGTCTCAGCCTCTACCCCTTGTCACCAGATTAAATGGAGTAGGTCTGCAGCTCTTGTTTAGCCATCATGGGTGTCATTTGGATTGGGGGTCAAATTAGTTTTCAATTAATTTGATTTTCAAATTTGTTCTTGCCTTTTGACTGGCTAATCGCTGCTGTGTCTCCTGTTTTATTTATCTTGGAATGTTTCCCGGAATAATGTGATTTTGTGTATAACATAGTGAACAGAGAGCCAGCAGAGTGAGCAGGGAACTCAGTGAGGTAGAACAGAGTGAGACTTCTGTTAAGGATTTTGCTAAGAGTGGGAATTGTTGAGCAAGAGAGAACTAGGGGGCAAAAGAGAATTCTTTCTTTCAGCAAAAGAGTAGGAATTTTTTCTTGAGCAAGAGAGATCTTTTCAGGCAAACAAGTCAAATTGGCAGTTGGTCACAGGCCGGGTATTAGGGATTAGTTAATTTGCTGACCAGTTGAAACTGGTTGTGTCATGGGGTCTATATAAAGGGGAGATTTCCGAGCATCTCACTCAAGGGGAGAACTCAGCAGATTGAGGAGGGAACTGAGTGAAACTTCTGTTGAGGAATTTGGTTAGAGTGGGAATTCGGTGCAGAGGGGGAAGGAGGTGCAGGTGAGAACTTTTTTCCCTCATATACATACCTGAGAAAGTAGGTGTTAAGTATTAAATAGGTGTGAGTTAGGGACAAAAGGTGTGAAATTACTTGTTTACCCACTTATTCTGAAACAGAATGGGTATTCTGAGCAGGAATTTGGTGAGAGTGGGAATTGGTCTAGAGGGGTAAAGAGGTGAATAATTATAAAATATGTAATATTTATATTAAAATAATATAAAACATGTCTGGGAATATGGCAGGGCAGCTAAGACCTGTTGAATGCATATTGTGTGCCATGTGGGAACTCCAGGATACTTTGTGTGTCAATGACAGCCAAGAGAGACAGGCAGTGCAGAAATCCCCTGAGAGTTTGGCACTCACAAACCGGTTCTCTGTTCCTAATACCAGTGAGGGTGATGACACTTTTGGGAAGGGGAGGCAAAAGAAAATGGATGCACAGGGGGACACAGGGAAGAGTGTCAAGGCAGGTATCATTGAGGCCACAACAGTGAAATTAATTTAAATTAGTTAATTTCCCTCCTATCTTCCCTCTCCCTTTGCTCTAAACGCCTCCTCATCCTTGGCGATTTTAACCTTCACTTCACCCCCTCCTGCTCTACCTCTGCTGACTTTTCCTCCCTTATCTCTTCCCTCAATCTCTCCCTCCACATCCACTCTGCCACTCACGTTCGTGGTCACCCCCTCGACCTGGTGATCACTTGGGGCCTCACCGTCTCGGATCTCACCATCATGGGACAAAGCGATCGCGAACCACCACTTCATCTCCCTTAACTCAATTCCTCTACCTACCGCCACCCAACCCACCTCCATCTCACACCGCCCCTGGAAAAAATCTCTCCCGCCTCCCTCTCAGCTGCCTTGGAGTCACCTGAACTCCTTCCCTTCTGGTCGTCCTCCCACAATGACCTATCTTCGTCAGTCACTCTTCTCCACAGCTCCCTCTGCTATATTCTCAATTCCCTCGTTCCCCTCTCTTCCTGAACCGTCTCCTACTCACGCAAATCATTTTGGTGAACCAGCCACGTCTGCTCCCTTAAAGCCCAGGTACGTTCCGCTGAGTGCAGCCGACTTAAATCAAACCTAACTGTCCATCGGTAGATTTGGCTGGACCATGTCAAATCCTACCGCTCCGCCCTCACCTCCGCTAAATCGTCATTCCACTCCAAGACAATCTTGGAGACTAAGGACAACCCCAGGCTCCTCTTCTCCATCATGAACCAGCTCCTCTGTCCACCCTCTCACGCCTCACCCATCCTCACCTCAAGTGCCAACTGCGAGGCGATGCTGGACTTCCTCACATCCAAAGGGAATCCGCTCAGCTGCCTCTGCCACTGCATCTGCTATCCCCTCCCCATCTCCTCCTCCCACCCCTGCCCCTACCATCCCTCCCTCCACACCTTTGAACCCGTCTCCCCCTCCTCTCTCATCACCACCATAATCCGTATGAAACCCACCACCTGCTCCCTGGACCCCATTCCTACCCCACTCCCTACCTTCCAGCTCCACCCCCTTGCCCCTCTACTCACTGGCATTGTCAACCTCTCCCTGTCCTCTGGTACTGTTCCCACCCCATTAAAAACTGTTGTCATCATTCCTATCCTTAGAAAGACCCTCCCTGGACCATTCTGTACTGCCTAACTATCGCCCCATCTCCAACCTCCCCTTCCTCTCCAAAGTCCTGGAACGAGTTGTTGCTTCTCAGCTTTGCTCCTCCCTCTCCCACCACTACCTTCTCGAATCCCTCCAATCGAGCTTCTGTGCCGCCCACAACATAGAAACAGCCCTGGTCAAAGTGAAAAATTACATTCTGTCCATCGTCGACCACTCTATCCTCATCCACTGCCTCTCCTCTCAACTCAAGCTCAACACGCTGTTCAAATTGTTCAAATTGTACCTCTCACACCTCCTGCACTTCATCTTCTCAACCGGCTTCTCCTCTCGCCCCAGGACCGTCTCGTGTGGTGTTCCTCAGGGCTCTGTCCTTGGTGCCTTCCTCTTCTGTATGTTCTGTATGCTCCCTCTTGGTGGCATCATCTGCAGGCATGGGGTCAACTTCTGCCTCCATCCTTGACTCCAGGACCACTGCTGTGCTGACAGAATGTCTGTCAGACATCAAGTCCTGGATGAGATCTAACTTTCTTCAGTTGAATGTCAACAAGACCGAGGCTCCTGATTGGCTTTCATCAGTGCCTCTCACCGCAGGACAGCATCATGCTTTTGATCTCCCTGCTTCCCTGTGGAGTCCTGTAGCTCAGTGGTTAGAGCACTCGCTTTGCAAGTGAGAGACCTGAGTTCAATTCCAGGCAGAGGGCGAAACCTTGGGCAAGTTTCCTTACTCCACACAGAGCCTAATAATAATCCCTCCAAAACCAAAAACAATAATAAATTGGTCATTTTCAATCTACAACTGTTTGTGGGACATTGCTGTGCGCAATTGGCTGCCGCATTCGCCCACAAATATACAGTTAATTCACTTTACAGTGTGTTCTGTGAAGCGCTTTGGGACGTCCTCCCGACGTGAAAAGCGCTATATCAAATGCAAGGATTATTATTATTATTCCCCCCCCACCCTCCACCCTCTCCCACTCCGACCCCCAGCTTGGGTCCGTAACTCTGTTTGTCCAGCACCTTGGGACGTCCTCCCAATGTGAAAGGCGCTATACAAGTGTAATTTTGTTGTTGTTGTTGTTGAAAGGAGTAAACAGGCATTTCTGCAACCAAAGACATGACTATTGCATGGAATATTGCCTCCCTGGTGCCAGGGTTGAAGACGTCACAGAACAGTTGCAAAACATTCTACAAGAGGAAGGGAACATCCAGAAGTCGTGGTACATGTTGGGATCCATGATGTAGGGAAAAATAGGACTGAGATCCTACAGGGAGAGTATCAGAAGCTAGGGAGAAAGCTAAAGAGTAGGACCTCAAAGGTGGTGATCTTTGGATTACTCTCAGTGCCTCATGCAAGTGAATATCAAAACAGTAGGATCAAACACATGAACCCATGGCTGGAAAAATGGTGCAGAATGCAGAGCTTTAGGTTCCTGGATGATTTGGACCAGTTCTAGGACAGGTGGGACCTGTACAAGGTGGATGGGTTACACCTGAACAGGGCTGGAATCAATGTCCTCGCAAGGAGGTTAACTAGTGCTGTGGGGAAGGGTTTAAACTAATTTCAAGAGGGGATGCAAATCAGGATGTAGCATCAGAGAGGAGAAAAAAAGTTACATAGAGGAATGGGAGTGAAGAATAGCAATGCAATAAGGAGTAATCCAGAAAACGGAGGGATTAGATTGGGGAGAAATGCAGAACAGACTAAGTTGGTCTTGCAGTGCATGTGCATAAATGCAGAGTGTGACAAATAAGGTTAGTGAGCTGCAGGCTCAAGTTGCCACATGGGGCTTTGATCAGTTGCAATAATAAGACCTGGCTCAAGCAAGGGCAGGAATGGGAGCTGAATATTCCTGGCTACAGTGTATTCAGGAGGAATAGGGAAGGAAAAAAAGGAGGGGGGGTGGCAATATTGATTAAAGTCACGGTTACGGCCCTGGGAAGGGATGATGTGCTAGAGGGTCCAAAAACAGAATCTATTTGGTTAGAGTTAAGAAGCAGAAAAGGAGCTGTTACTCTGTTAGGCGTATACTATAGACCACCAAACAGTGGGAAGGAGATAGAGGAGCAAATCTGCAAGCAGATTTCAGAAAGGTACAAAACCAATAGAGTAGTCATAATGGGGGACTTCAATTATCCTAACAAAATAACAGTGAAAGGGCAAGGAGGGGGAAGGATTCCTGAAATGTGTGCAGGATAACTTTCTGGATCAATGTGTTCCCAGCCCAACGAGGAAGGAAGCAGTGTTGGATTTAGTTCTGCGGAATGAAGTGGGGCAAGTGGAGCAGGTTTCAGTAGGAGAGCATCTGGACAACAGCAATCACAACATCATTACACTTAGAGTACTTATGGAAATGGGCAAGGAACAATCAAAGGTGAAGATACTCAACTGGAAGAGGGCTAATTTCAGTGAGTTAAAAAGGGATGTAGCCAAGGCGGACTGGAAAGAAAGATTGGCAGGTAAAACAGCTAACAAGCAAAGGGAAGTCTTCGAGGCAAAGATAGTTTGGGAACAGAACAAATACATTCCTACAAAGGGGAAATATAGGGCATCCAAACATCCATGGATGAATAAGGAAATTGGGATTAAAATAAGGTAGAAAAAAGGAGTCTTATGATAAATGTAAGGTCCAAAATACAGAAGATAATCAAAAAGAATATAGAGGAGAATTGAAAAGGGAAATAAGAGGGGCAAAGAGACTATATGAGAAAAGATTAGTGGGTAACATAAAAGGGAACCCTAAGGTATTTTATAAGCATACAAAGAATAAAAGGTTAGTCAAAAGTAGGGTGGGTCCAATTAGGGACCAAAGAGGAAATCTTCTTGTGGAGGCAGAGGGCATGGCTGACATAACAATAATAATCCTTGCATTTGATATAGCGCTTTTCACGTCTTCTCGACGTCACAAAGCGCTTCACAGAATATACTGTAAAGTGAATTGATTGTATACTTGTGGGTGAAACGCAGAAGCCAATTGCGCACAGCAGTGTCCCACAAACAGTCGTGGATGTGGAGTCCTGTAGCTCAGTGGTTAGAGCACTCGCTTTGCAAGTGAGAGACCTGAGTTCAATTCCAGGCAGAGGCGAAACCTTGGGCAAGTTTCCTTACTCCACACAGAGCCTAATAATAATCCCTCCAAAACCAAAAACAATAATAAATTGGTCATTTTCAATCTACGACTGTTTGTGGGACATTGCTGTGCGCAATTGGCTGCCGCGTTCGCCCACAAATATACAGTCAATTTACTTTACAGTGTGTTCTGTGAAGCGCTTTGGGACGTCCTCCCGACGTGAAAAGCGCTATATCAAATGCAAGGATTACTATTGGTATTATTATTGAAAATGACCAATTATTGTTTTGTTTTGGAGGGATTATTATCAGGAGCGTGGAGTAAGGAAACTTGTCCAAGGTTTCGCCCTGCCTGGAATTGAACCCAGGTGTCTCACTTGCAAGGCAAGTGCTCTAACCATTGACCTATAGGACTCCATACTGAATGAGTACTTTGCATCTGTCTTCACAAAAGAATAGGATGCAGCCAATGCCACAGTATTGGAGAAGAGGGTAGAGAAATTGGATAGGTTAAAAATAAACAGAGAGGAGATACTCAAAAGCTTGACAGTGCTCAAGGTAGACAAATCACCCGGTCCGGACGGGATGTATCCTAATTACTGAGGGAAGTAAGGGTGGAAATAGCGGAGGCTCTGCTACAATCTTTCAATCCTCCTTGGACAACAGGGTGGTGCCAGAGGACTGTATGGTTGCAAATGTTACTCCTCTGTACAAAAAGGGGCAGAAGGATAAACCCGGGAACAACAGGCCAGTCAGCCCAACATCAGTATTGGGGTTACTTCTAGAGACTATAATCCGGGACAAAATAAATTTTCAATTAGAAAAATATGGGTTAATAAATCTGTGTCCAACGACATTGCTTAGTTTTAGAACACTCTTACTTTTATCTTGATGGATAATGCAGTGTAGAAAAATAATATTCTGTTCTGGATTTGTTTCTCTGACTTGATCTTGAATTCTTTTCAGTAACCCAACAGTTTTGGACTTCCATCGGTGGTCACATTCACCAATTTTTTCCACTCCACTCCTAATTTTAAGATACACTTATTTACTGCCTCCAAAAAGTCTTCTCCAGTTGTTGTATCTTTCATTAACTGCATTGATACCAATTCTTCTGTGAGCTAAAAATATTTGCTGATACCTCGAATAAAAATTATCAACCGGGCTGTGCCTTTGACATCACAACTCTCATCGAGTGCCAGTGAAAAACATACAAAATTGTTTATTTTATTACTGCAGATACCACCCTTTCAGGCAGTGCATTCCAGACCGTAACTACTCTCTGGGTAAAAAGATTTCTCCTTATCTCCCCTCTGGTTCTTTTGCCAGTTATCTTAAATCTGTGTCCTCTGGTTATCAACCCACCCACCAGAGAAACAGTTTCTTCCCTGTTTATTTTAACAAAACCCTTCATAATTTTGAACTCCTTTATTAAATCTCCCCTTAACCTTCTCTGCTCTAAGGAGAATAATCCCAGGTTCTTTAGACCCTCCACATCCCTCATCGCTGGTATCATTCTTGTAAATCTCCTCTGCACCCTCTCCAAGGCCCTGACATCCTTCCTAAAGTGTGGTACCCAGAATTGGACACAATACTCCAGCTGAGGCCTAACCAGTGATTTGTAAAGGAAATCTTCTATACTTAATGATAATACTTCTCATATATTTTAATCCTTCAATTGTTCTAAACCCTCTCACTTTTAATCTTACAAATTCGACAAAATTCAAATCACTTTAAAATTATTCTCACACATTTCAATGTTCAAAATTTTGTACCTGTTCAACTTCAACACTTAAAGTCCCTGTTCGGGCACCAATTTGTGGGGGGTTTCAAATTGTTGACCTATTGGTGAAGTATGAACTGACACAAGCTCTCAGTTTCCTTCAGTTAGTAAATGTATAATAAAGAATAGCAAGGTTATACATATACAGGTTATACATTTCATCTAATCAAATTAATGCTATGACAGATTGGTAAAGTTCACAACAATGAATTGATCAGATCAATACAGTGGCTTTGATGGCGGAATCGACTTGTTAACGCGCTGAGGTCAATCAATGTTGATTGTAGTATATCCCTCTTTCCTCGAGATTGGTTATGGTTAGCTACTCCCTTCCCAAACTCTGCTCTTCCCATTTTTCCCCTGAATCTCTCAGGTCATGCACAACATGTAGGTGTAGGTGGGCAGGGGGGAACGGGTGGGCAGGGGGGAACGGGTGGGCAGGGGGGAACGGGTGGGCAGGGGGGAACGGGTGGGCAGGGGGGAACGGGTGGGCAGGGGGGAACGGGTGGGCAGGGGGGAACGGGTGGGCAGGGGGGAACGGGTGGGCAGGGGGGAACGGGTGGGCAGGGGGGATCGGGTGGGCAGGGGGTAACGGGTGGGCACGGCGGATGAGTTACAAACAGCAGCTGGTGACAAACAACAACCTTATCTTTTAATATGATGCAGAAAACCTTTGTTTTGTAAATATTCTTCCACTTGTTTTCTATTACCCTTGGCAGCCAAGTACCTGTGTCATATAGTCACCACCACCCACCTGTGCCCCACACAAGTCCATGAGGCTTTGCGGTTTTCTTTGGCTCACGTAAAATATCCCAGAATTCTGGGATTGCTTAAACCATCTCCACCTGTCCACCTGTCCACCTTCATAGCTCTCCACCTGTTCTGTCCACCTCCACTCCACCCGGTTGTATTGTGGTAGGTTGCCGTTAGCCTGGTCAGTGTATTGTGCACTTGTACTGTAGGCTGACACAGCTCTCCCTGTGCTCTGGTGGCAGCGGTGACGGTGAATGCTGTAAACCCGGGCGTGGTGTTGACAGAAGTGATGAGAAACTACAATGTCCTGATCCGTTCCTGCTTCAATATTATCGGCTTCTTCTGCTTCAAGGTCAGTTCAGTAATCGGATAATCTCCACTCCAGGCCTCGCCTCTGCCACCAGCCCCTCACTCTGTGTGTGTGTGTGGTGTGTGTGTGTGTGTGAGTGAGTGTAAGGCAGTGTGGGTGAGTCAGTCAGTGTTTGTGTGTGTGTGTGGCTATGTGTGTGTAAGAGTTAGTGAATATGTGAGGCTGTGTGTGTGAGAGAGGTGGTGTGTGTGTATGTGAGCAAGGCGGTGTGTGTGTGTGTGAGAGGCGGGTGTCTGTGTGTGAGAGGCGGTGTGTGTGTGGGGGGGTGTATGGGGGTGGTGTCTGTGTGTGAGAGGCGGTGTGTGTGTGTGTGAGAGGCGGTGTGTGTGTGTGTGAGAGGCGGTGTGTGTGTGTGTGAGAGGCGGTGTGTGTGTGTGTGAGAGGCGGTGTGTGTGTGTGAGAGGCGGTGTGTGTGTGTGAGAGGCGGTGTGTGTGTGTGTGAGAGGCGGCGTGTGTGTGTGTGAGAGGCGGTGTGTGTGTGTGTGTGTGTGTGAATCAGTCAGGGTGTGATTCAGTCAGTTCCAGGACCTTGGAGAGGAAAGGAGGTTGGTGATGCGTTAGTTTGAGAGCAGGGAAGGGACCAGGGAGGGTTTTTTTTAAAGATAGGAGTGATGTGGCCATTTTTAAAGGGATGGGAACAGTGGCAGTGGACAGGTTTATGATGTGTGTGAGTAGGGTGCAAGGAGGTGGAGCTGGCTGGGGTAGGAATGGTAAGAAGAGGGGTGGGAATGGGATTGAGGGAGCAGGTATCAGTTTCATGTGGGTTATAGTAGTGGTGAGAGAGGAGGGGGAGATAGGTTTGAAGGTGTGGAGGGAGGGATAGGTAGAGGCCAAAGCGGGAAGGTGGTTGGAAGTGCAGATTTTGGTTTTGAGGAAGTCAGTATCTCCTCGCAGTTGGCATTGGAGGCGAGGATGGGTGAGGTGTGAGAGGGTGGGTGGAGTAGCCGGTTGGTGAAGGAGAAGAGGAGCCTGGGGTTGTCCTTGGCCTCCAAGATTATCTTGGAGTAGAATGACAATTTAGCGGAGGCGAGGGTGGAGTGGTAGGATTTGATATGGTCCAGCCAGATCTGCTGATGGGCTGTTGTTGGATTTGAGCCAGGTGCGTTCAGCGGCACCCACCTGAGCCTTAAGGGAGGGGAAGTGGCTGGTGTACCAGAGTGACTTTCATGAGTAGGACACGGTTCGGGAAGAGAGGGGAGCGAGGAAATCGAGAGTGGTGGAGAGGGAGCTCTGGAGAAGAGTGACCGAGGAGGTTAGGTCATTGCGGGAGGAAGCCCAGAGTGGGAGGAGTTCAAATAATTCCAAGGCAGCCAAGAGGGACAGGGGAGATTTTTTCCAGGGGCAGTAGGAGATGGAATAGGTTGGATGGCGGCGGGGAGAGGGATTGACGAGTTAAAAGAGATGAAGTAATGGTCCAAAATGGCATTTTCGGTGATGGTGAGATCTGAGATATTGATGCCCCGAGTGATCACCAGGTCAAGCAGGTGGCCAGGAATGTGGGTGGCAAAGTGGATGTGGAGGGAGAGATTGTGAGAGGAGAGGAGAGAAGAAGTCCGCAGCAGTAGAAGTGAAGGTTGAACTCGCCTAGGATGAGGGAGCGTTCAGAGTGGAGGGAGAGGGAAGATAGGAGGGTGGAGATGTCAGAGAGGAAAGTGGAGAGGATTTAGGGGGACAACAGACAAGGACGATTTGGAGGGTTTTGGTGAGGGCGAGGATGTCGATGTTTTCCTCGACAATGAGGTCTTGGATGGTGAGGGTTTTGCTGGTGAGAGAGCGGTCATTTTGCAAGTCGATGTGGAGTGGACAGTTATTGGTGGAGGAATAGGCGAGGGGAGGGGGGAGGAGTAGGACTGACGGGGAGAGTGGAGATGCGGATAAGGGAGGAGAGGTTGGTCCTGGGGTCAGGGCCTGATGAGCTTCGCACTAGAGGTGGAACACGCTGGGCCCGATGGAGGACTTGCAGCCCAGAGCGGCTGTGGGATGGTCGAGCAGGGACAGTGGGCGGGGAGGGCGGTGAGAGGGAAGGATTGAGCGTGAGCAGTGGAGGGTTGGGGGACAGGGGGTGGGAGCATTTTTTGGGAGAAGCAGCTCGGGTCGGTGGCGCATGCCGAGATTAACAACAACAACTTGGGTTTATAAAGCGCCGTCCACGCTGGAGGGTGTCTCAGAGCGCTTGAAGAGATTAAGAATGGACGGCGTGGAGGGGGGGGGCGCTTGGGAGAGAAAGACCAAGAGAAGCAGCACTGCAGAACGGCAGTGACAGAGCAGATCGATGGACTGATGTCCGTCTCTCAATACATAATGGCTGTGTGTGTGCAGTCCCCACAGGAGGGAGCTGTCAGCACCATCTACTGTGCTGTGTCCAAGGAGCTGGAGAACGTCAGCGGCAAATACATCGACAGTGACTGCTCCCTGCGGCTGCCCTCCCCCACCGCACAGGACGCCAGCATCGCCGGCAAACTCTGGGACATCAGTGAGAGACTGACAGCCAACAGCCGGGACAAGTGAGACATCACTCAACCACAGCCCCGAGACAGTCACACACACACACACACACACACAGCCCCGAGACAGTCACACACACACACACACACACACAGCCCCGAGACAGTCACACACACACACACACACACACACACACACAGCCCCGAGACAGTCACACACACACACACACACACACAGCCCCGAGACAGTCACACACACACACACACACACACACAGCCCCGAGACAGTCACACACACACACACACACACAGCCCCGAGACAGTCACACGCACTCAACCACAGCCCCGAGACAGTCACACACACACACACAGCCCCGAGACAGTCACACACACACACACACAGCCCCGAGACAGTCACACACACACACACACACAGCCCCGAGACAGTCACGCGCACTCAACCACAGCCCCGAGACAGTCACACACACACACACACACACAGCCCCGAGACAGTCACACACACACACACACACACACACACAGCCCCGAGACAGTCACACACACACACACACACAGCCCCGAGACAGTCACACACACACACACAGCCCCGAGACAGTCACACACACAGCCCCAAGACAGTCACACGCACTCAACCACAGCCCCGAGACAGTCACACACACACACACAGCCCCGAGACAGTCACACACACACACACACACAGCCCCGAGACAGTCACACGCACTCAACCACAGCCCCAAGACAGTCACACACACACACACACAGCCCCAAGACAGTCACACACACACACAGCCCCGAGACAGTCACACGCACTCAACCACAGCCCCGAGACAGTCACACGCACTCAACCACAGCCCCGAGACAGTCCCACGCACTCAACCACAGCCCCAAGACAGTCACATACACACACACACATACAGCCCCGAGACAGTCACACAACCACAGCCCCGAGATAGTCACACACACACACACAGCCTCGAGACAATCACACACACACACACACAGCCCCGAGACACACACACAGCCCTGAGATAGTCTCACACACACACTGCCCCGAACACACACACAACCCGATGTTTTATAATTGCTAATGAAACACGTTAATGATAATAATAACATATCCTCGGTGTGGTTTCTGACAAACACTTGAACCCAATTTCACAGGGCAGCTGTGTGTGGGGGGGGCTGTGTGGGGGGGGGGCTGTGTGTGTGTGGGGGGGGGGGGGGGGGCTGTGTGTGTGTGTGGGGGGGGGCTGTGTGTGTGTGTGGGGGGGGGCTGTGTGTGTGTGGGGGGGCTGTGTGTGTGTGGGGGGGGCTGTGTGTGTGTGTGGGGGGGGGGGCTGTGTGTGTGTGGGGGGGGGATGCTGGGTGTGTGTGTGGGGGGGGCTGTGTGTGTGGGGGGGCTGTGTGTGTGGGGGGGGGCTGTGTGTGGGGGGGGCTGTGTGTGTGTGTGGGGGGCGGGGAAGCTCTGTGTGTGTGGGGGGGAGCTCTGCGTGTGTGTGTGTGTGTGTGTGTGTGGGGGGGCTGTGTGTGTGTGTGGGTGTGTGTGTGTGCGGGGGGGGCTGTGTGTCTGGGGGTGGGGTTGTGTGTGTGTGTGTGGGGGTGGGCTGTGTGTGTGTGTGTGTGGGTGTGTGTGTGTGTGTGTGCGGGGGGTGGGCTGTGTGTCTGGGGTGGGTTGTGTGTGTGTGTGGGGGGGGGTGGCTGTGTGTGTGGGGGCTGTGTGTGTGTGTGTGTGCGGGGGGGGGCTGTGTGTGGGTGTGTGTGTGTGTGTGTGGGTGTGTGTGTGTGTGTGGGGCTGTGTGTGTGGGGGGGGGCTGTGTGTGCGGGGGGCTGTGTGTGGGTGTGTGTGTGTGTGTGGGTGTGTGTGTGTGTGTGTGGGGCTGTGTGTGTGGGGGGGGGGAAGCTCTGTGTGTGTGTGTGTGTGGTGTGTGTGTGTGTGTGCGGGGGGTGGGCTGTGTGTCTGGGGGTGGGGTTGTGTCTGCCTGTGGAGTTGGGTGCTGGGTGATATTTTTGTAGCTGTGTTGTCGATCAGGTGCTTCGAATAAAACAAACTGAATCGGCAAAAAAAAACTGTTCAATAATAATAATCCTTCCATCTGATACAGCACATTATGACGTCTTCAAACATCTCAAAGGGCTTCACAGAATATACTGTTAAGTGAATTGACTGTATATTTTGGGGCCGAAATATGGCAGCCAATTGCGCACAGCAGCGTCCCACAAACAGTCGTGGATTGAAGTATATTATTATACATTATTGTATTTTTAAAAAATGTTAAGGGATTATTACCCCCGGAAAAGCGCTTCAGTAATCGACCAGGAACCGGGTTCCTACTTACTACTGGATACGCAGAGAGGGTCTGGAGTAAGGAAACTTCCCCAAACTTTTCCCCCTGCCGGGAATCGAGCCCGCATCCTCTCGCTTGCGAGGCAATTGCACTAACCACTGAGCAACAGGAATCTGCGTTGATCAGGAACCTGTCCAACAAGAGCTTGCATTTACACAGCGCCCTTCACGGGGAGGCAACTGCAGGAATGGTCAAAGAGGAAGGTCTTCAGGCGTGATCTGAAAAAGGGAAGGGAGGGGGCAAGGCAGAGGGATTGCTGGCGGAAGTTCCAGAGTTTGGGAATAAAGTGGTTGAAAGTGCAGCTGCCAATGGTGGAGAGGGGATGAGGGACAAATAGGAGACCATAGTCAGCCGAGCGGAGGCAGTGGGTAGTGGAGTGAGGAGAAAGCAAGTCAAGAGAGGTCGGGGTGTGCCAAGGATTTGTAAACAAGTGAAAGAATCTTAACATTGATCTATTCAGTGATATGGAGCCAGTGGAGCCTGGCGAGGTCTGCTGTAATAGGGGTATGGAGTTTAGAGTGTGTGATAGTGTGGGAGAACATCGGTCGACCATAATAATAACAATAATAATGATCCTTGCATTTGATATAGCGCTTTTCACGTCGGGAGGACGTCCCAAAGCGCTTCACAGAACACACTGTAAAGTGAATTGACTGTATATTTGTGGGCGAACGCGGCAGCCAATTGCGCACAGCAATGTCCCACAAACAGTCGTAGATTGAAAATGACCAATTTATTATTGTTTTTTTTTGGAGGATTATTATTAGGCTCTGTGTGGAGTAAGGAAACTTGCCCAAGGTTTCGCCCTCTGCCTGGAATTGAACTCAGGTCTCTCACTTGCAAAGCGAGTGCTCTAACCAGAGCTACAGGACTCCATTGTTTGAACTCAAAACAACAACATATTTGGGTGTATGATGAGTGAGCTAAGATATGATAAACAGCTTAAACAGATTTACAAGCTCTCTGCAGCCATGAGGGTCTGAGGAAGTTGTGGGTGGACTGCGGCTGTTTGCAGGACTGAATAAAACTTTTTTGAAACTCTCATTCGTCTGAACACTCTCATTGAAAACAGTATCCAACAGATAGGGAGCCAGTGGAGTCTGGCGAGGATTAGTGTGATGAGTACATGGGAGGTGGAGTTTGGGAGCAGTTGTAGTTTGTGGGTCGTGGAGATGGGGAGACCAGTGAGGAGGACATTAAAATAAGTGAGGAGGGAGGTGACAAAGGCGTGGACAAGGGTTTCAGCTGCGTTGGGTGTCAGACATATCCCTGGTGTAAGCTGTGCACAGGGACGGGGTGAGATGTCTGTCGTGGGATTTCCAGACACAGCCCCGATGATATCTGGAAAATGTGTCATTTGTAATATGATCAAGTGCAGATGCAGCGCTGCTCAGTGACCGCCATGAGTTAGTAGTGCAGAGTGGAGCCCAGGGAACTGGTATCCCCAGCAGCTCATAGAACAATGTTGTTCGTAAGTGTGGTTTGTATTCGATAACCTGCCCAGTGGCTGTCAGCCTGGCCTCGGAGCTGACATCCAGTCTCCCCCTCACTCCTGCTCCGTGCTCTCCCCCTCACTCCTGCTCCGTGCTCTCCCCCTCACTCCTGCTGTGATGATCTCCCCCTCACTCCTGCTCTGTGCTCTCCCCCTCACTCCTGCTCTGTGCTCTCCCCTTCACTCCTGCTGTGATGATCTCCCCCTCACTCCTGCTCCGTGCTCTCCCCCTCACTCCTGCTCCGTGCTCTCCCCCTCACTCCTGCTCCGTGCTCTCCCCCTCACTCCTGCTGCTGTGATCTCCCCCTCACTCCTGCTCTGTGCTCTCCCCCTCACTCCTGCTCTGTGCTCTCCCCTTCACTCCTGCTGTGATGATCTCCCCCTCACTCCTGCTCCGTGCTCTCCCCCTCACTCCTGCTCTGTGCTCTCCCCTTCACTCCTGCTCCGTGCTCTCCCCCTCACTCCTGCTGTGATGATCTCCCCCTCACTCCTGCTCCGTGCTCTCCCCCTCACTCCTGCTCCGTGCTCTCCCCCTCACTCCTGCTCCGTGCTCTCCCCCTCACTCCTGCTGTGATGATCTCCCCCTCACTCCTGCTCCGTGCTCTCCCCCTCACTCCTGCTCCGTGCTCTCCCCTCACTCCTGCTCCGTGCTCTCCCCCTCACTCCTGCTGTGATGATCTCCCCTCACTCCTGCTCCGTGCTCTCCCCTCACTCCTGCTCCATGCTCTCCCCCTCACTCCTGCTCCGTGCTCTCCCCCTCACTCCTGCTCCGTGCTCTCCCCCTCACTCCTGCTGTGATGATCTCCCCCTCACTCCTGCTCCGTGCTCTCCCCCTCACTCCTGCTGTGATGATCTCCCCCTCACTCCTGCTCCGTGCTCTCCCCCTCACTCCTGCTCCGTGCTCTCCCCTCACTCCTGCTCCGTGCTCTCCCCCTCACTCCTGCTCCGTCTCTCCCCCTCACTCCTGCTCCGTGCTCTCCCCCTCACTCCTGCTCCGTGCTCTCCCCCTCACTCCTGCTCCGTGCTCTCCCCCTCACTCTTGCTGTGTTGATCCTTGCATTTGATATAGCGCCTCATCATATCTTCAAGGCGTCTGAAATCGCTTCACAAAATATACTGTAAAGTGTAGTGACTGTGTATTTTGTGGGCCAAACGCAACAGCCAATTGCTCACAGCAGATTCCACAAACAGTCGTAGATTGAGTGACCAATTTATTATTATTTTTTGAAGGAATTCATTGCTCCCCTCCTCATTCCCCACGTGGCCCTCGCAGACACCAGGTAATACCCCCACCCCAAACCCCACTCCTACCCCCACTCCAAACCCCACTCCTACCCCCACCCCAACCACCCACCACCCCCATCCTACCCCACCCAAACCCACTCCTACCCCCCAAACCCCCCACAACCCCACTCCTACCCCACCAACTCACCTACCCACAAACCCCACTACCCCACCCTACCCCACCCACCCACCACCACCCAAACCCACTCCTACCCCCACCCAAACCATTACCACCCACCCACTCTCCCCACCACTCCTACCCCAACTCACCACCCACCAACCACTCACCAACCCTCCTACCCCCACCCACCTAACCACACCCAACTCCTACCCCACCCAAACCTCACTCCTACCCCACACAAACCCACTCCTACCCCCACCCCAACCACTCTACCACCCTCACTCCACCCCACCACAACCCCAACTCCTATCCCAAATCCCCTTCTCATCTCTTCCCTCCTCACACTCCCCTCTCTCCTCACACTCCCCTTCCTCTCTCACACTCCCCTCCCCCTTACACTCCCCTCCCCCTTACACTCTCCTCCCCCTCACACTTCCCTTCCCCCCAACCGCCACAACACTCAACCCGACCGAATCTCCACCCCATCCCCCGAGCTGCAGGTGCCCGAGCTGAGGATCGGGATTGGGGAGGGTGGAGGGCAGGGGGATGGAGGGTGACCGAGGGAATGGTAAAGAGGAGGATCTTGAGATGGGTCTTGAAGCAGACAAGGGAGGGGGTGAGGTGGGAGACAAAGGAGGGGCCATTCAGTGGGTAACCTTTCAACCCCATGTGGTGTCGCGTGATGTGACGGTCTGGGATTAGGGTGTAACATGCTTCTTTCACGTCTAGTATTGGAGAACATACGATTCCAAAAGGCACACGTGTGATTCTCAACATGTGGGCCATTCACCATAACCCGGTCACCTGGGACCATCCAGAGCGCTTTAACCCAGGTAACAGGTGTGTGTGTTTGGCGGGTAGTGTGTGTATATGTGAGGGGCAGTGTGTGTGTGTGTGTGCGTGGGTGCTGTGTATAAACGTGCTCTGTTGCTGTGTTGTTGCTGTTGCTGCTCATCAGATCATGCAGTGCTCCATGGCCTTGCTCCCCGCTATCTCTACGCTTCTAGGTCCCTACTGACCTGCCCGCTCCCTCTGCTCAGTGGTCTCCGGCCTGCTTCACATCCCCCGCCTTGCCCGCCCCACTGTCCTCAGGCTGGTCTTTTGCCACTCTGCCCCCACCATCTGGAACTCCCTCAGACCCTCTGCTTCGCCCCCTCCCTTGTCTCCTTCAAGACCCGTCTCAAGACGCTCCTCTTCGACGTGCCTTTGGTCACCCTCCACACCCCCACCCCCCCTCCCCGCTCTCTACCCTTCCCAATCCTGATCCCCAACCCGGGCACCCGCAGCTCGGGTCCGCAACACTGATTGTCCAGCGCTTTGGGACATCCTCCCGACACGAAAGGCGTTAGACAAATGTAAGTTTGTTGTTGCTGCTGTTATTGTTATCGCTTCTGCGGGGTTGTTGTTGCTGCTGCTGTTGTTGTTGAATCACTCCGCCTCGCCCCTCCTTAGCCTTCTTCAAGTCCCGCCTCAAGACCCTCCTCTTCGACCATGCCATCGGCCACGCTCCCTCCCCTCCGTTTCCCCCCCGACCCCAGCTCGGGTCTGAAATGCTGTATACACTGTCCAGCGCCTTGGGACGTCCTCCCGACATGAAAGGCGCTATACAAATATAATCTTGTTGTTGTTGTTACTGCTGTTGCCGCTGCTGGTGTTGCTGTTGTTGTTCTTACTGTGTTGTTGCTGCTGTTATTGCTGTTTTTGATGTTGTTCCCCTCTGTCACACAGAATGTGTGTGTGTGTGTACGGAGGGCTCTGTGTAAATGTGCTGCATTGTTGCTGTTACACAGACCGGTGTGTGTGTGTGTGTATGGAGGGCTCTGTGTAAATGTGCTGCATTGTTGCTGTTACACAGACAGGTTTGTGGATGGTGGAGACCATCGAGTCTCTCCTGGTGGTTTCCTGCCGTTCGGGGCGGGGCCCAGGGCGTGTGTGGGCGAGGCTGTGGCCCGGGTTCAGCTCTTCCTCCTGCTCAGCTGGCTGCTCCAGCGCTTCACCTTCTGCCCCGCGCCAGGGCACGGCCTGCCCGACCTCCAGGGCCGCTCCGGGCTGATCCTGCAGCCAGACAGCTACTGGGTGTGTGCCAGCCCACGGGAGGGCTGGGCACAGGGCACCGGACAGCAGTGAGGGCAGGAATACTTAGAGCACTCGCCTCGCAAGTGAGAGGAACTGGGTTTGATTTCCGGGCAGGACAAAACATTAGGCAAGTTTCTTTACTCCACAAACCTCTGTTTACTCAGGGTATTGGTTGGAGGATCGCTTTCTTTTATAAAAACATAATAATACAATAGTTTGCCTTCATATGTATCCACAGTCAAACCCCTTGAAGCACTTTTGAGATCTTTCAACCATCTGATAAAGCTCTGTATCAAAGTCCGGAGGTTAT